TTCAGATCCGCTTGCCTGCCATGATTTCAGCCCAGAGACAGACAACAAGCTTTGATGTGGTGGTTGGTTTCTGCTACTGAAGTTGGCATTTTATCTTCTTGCATCAGATTTCTTCCCAAATTGATGTGACTCAGGCATAGGGAACACATTTTAACTGCAATTTTCTCCCTAAATATACATGTATATTTTACTGTACCTTTAAATTACATTGGACTGACCATTGATCTTGGACCTCAGAGGTTCCTCCTACTGAACATAGCACAGCAGAAGGTCAGAGACTGCATGATGGATACAAGGTCTTAGTAAGTAGGGGTTACTACAGCTTCCTGGTCCTGATGCTTGAAGGGTTCATTTTCTTTTTGTTCACCTTGTCTGCAGCACAATGCCAGCTGTTTCATGCAGAATGTACAGCAAACTTTGTGCTACAGCCAGGGGGAGCATTGTTTTTTTTTTTTTTCCAAGCCATGTGTAGATACACAATTTATCATGTAAGGGTTTCTGGCCCCTTTTCCTTGTGAGGTGTTTCATCTCTGCTACTAACACTGTGACCCACTGAAAACACCTCTCTTTAGCATTTCTGTCTCGTATGTTGTTCCTGATTTTTTAAATCACTCATTCCTCTCAAAGCTGCTTTTTACATAAGATGAAAATGAAGGACTGAGCCACATCTACAAAAGAACAAGATCCCAAGGCTTTTCCTATGTCTGGATCTGAAGAAGACATACTATAAAAGATTTATTTTTCCTTTTGTATTTAAAATTATTCAGAAACAAAGACATCTCCGGTCTAATTAGCTTCTTTGGGCTATTAAAAAGAATCAGTAGAAATCAGAAATCACCAAGTCCTTTAGACTCCAGGTTTCTAATTCTTGGCCCTGCTTCTACGTGTTTGTATAGGTCTAACTCTTGCAACATTTTCCGTCAGTTCAACTGTGCTTCCTATATCTCTTCCACAGTAATGACTGAATGCACAGTGACAGGAAAATATCCACCTGGAAAGAACTGGACCATAATTTTTACATAGTATTAGATAAAATACTAACATATGTATGGGGATTAAGAAAGGGATAGGTCAATATGGACTGAAATTACTGGTCAAGTCTTAACTCAGGAAGTAAAATGTGAAATGTGTTTTCTAGGACACATTGATTTTTAAGGTGTCCTGTAAAATGAAAGAGAAGTGTGTCCATGGAAGATGGAGGTGTTCTTTTGTGTGAAAATAACCAGAGATACTTATGAAGGCAACTGAAAAAGAAAGCACAGAATACCCAAGCTAAACAGCCACTCAAGATGAACATGGCTTCATGGGCATTCTATCAAGAATGGCATATGACACACTGATTCTTGTTCACAGACCCTCCTTACATCTTTATAACAGCTAGCATGACAAACATTTCCCATGAGTAATTGACCTGGTAGCACTCTATTCTTGTGGATACTTTCTGGGTTTTCTCTTGCACAGCATGTATATTGCCATTTGCACTTAAGAATGGAGTAAATTAGGTGTCTTGGCTCTGTCTAGAAAGCTTCAATTTTCATTGCTACTTTAGGCAAATAATTTTGTTCTTCTAGGTTCCTACCTTATCTGCAACATGAGAAACATGAATTAGATAAATTCTTGTTTTTTATTTGGTGCAATAATTTTTCTTCTTCTTCTTCTTTTTTTTTTTTTTTTTTTTTTTTTTTTTTGGTTTTTTGAGGTGGGATTTCTCTGGGTAGGCTTGGCTGTCCTAAAAGTCACTCTGTAGATCAGGCTGACCTCGAACTCATAGAGATTCACCTTCCTCTACCTCCCTAGAGCTGGATTAAAAGTATGTGCCACCACCCCCCAGCTGGTGCAAAAATTTTATGGTTCATGATTCTAAGTGAGACCACACCTGTCCATAATGCAAGTTTAGTTATCTCATCAAGAAAGTAGCAATAATAGTAATTACATACTTGCAATGTATTCAAACCCCAAACCTATAAGATCCACAACTCCCTTGAATTTACATACAAGTTCAATAAAAAATTTACAATTCACATGATAAGGTCCTAATCCCTTCGGGTCACCAAAGAATGATGCCTTTCCCATCATCCAGTTGAATATTAATGTCTATGGACCACACATTTTAAAATTCGCCTTCACTGTAGCTGTCCTAAAAGAAAGATGACTCTTCTGCTCTGATAAACACTCACTGCTTTTGTTCCTTGTGTTTAACCAGAGCCCCAAGTCAGATGAATGTATTTATCACACGTTTTCAAGTGCCCTGAATTTGTAAACTTTGGCAGTGTTTATTTATCCTCTCCTGCTGTGGAAGATACTGTACCCGGGCCTGTTCTTCAATGGTATGGAAAACTCTCAGGCTGTGAGTAGTGAGCAAAGACAGATGAGCCACAGGGCTGCCGCTCATGCTGTCTCTGCTGCCTATTCATTGTCTCTTTCCATTTGACTTGAGCTTTGAAGGACATTTGCCAGAGCCAGACTACCGGGACCCTTGTTATTTGCATGTCTTTTCTCACCTTCAACATGATCTGAACTGATGTTTTAATTTGTTCAAAACAACAAGCACATTCACTGTGAAACTCTTGCTGGAATCACTTCAGATCACCATAGCTCTTCATTCCCTGTCATAAACTGTAATCCTCTACTCCCCTTACTCCCATGTCAGGGGAGTTGGTGGTTTTGTAGTGGACAGTCAGTGGAATTTCAGTGAACAGAGGGAGATTTCAAAGAACTACTGAGTGATCATGTGGTAGGTTGTGGCACTGAGAACAAGACATGAAATATTCTTGATTTTGATCAGAGCTTGGCAGTATAAGAAGAAACAGGATTACATAATAGAACAAAGGATTTGGAGCTTATGATTATACAGGATAAAGACTTTTCTTGAGTGAAGATAACTCAGAGTTCTTACTAAATCTGGGTTTTTAAAATATTAATTTGTGGTCTGACTGTTCTCAAATTTGGAAGAGTAGAGAGGCTAAGGACTTTTTGCAAATTGATGTTTAGTGGAAACATGAAATTTCCTGATAATGTATTGTCTCAAAGTCCCTGAAGACCCAGAGATACCTGAAGAGCTAGGCATATGGAACTGTGGACGAGAGATCTGCTGGGGGAGGGGCAATAAGAATAACACAAAGGTTTTCTAACATTTGAATGGGGAGGGGATTGTATATGAAAAGAACTGCTGAAAGACATTAGGTCTTATATGTTTGATTTACAGTGTTGATGTTATTGTCAGACAGTTTTCCTAAGAGGTAAAATAGTGTCAATCATGTTAGCTGGATATTCTAGGCCTGGAAAGACCTTAGAAATTATGATGCAAATAATGATTCATCAAAACATGGTTGATTTGAGAGTTTCATGGCAGTGTGATGGAAGCTCCATCAGGTACCATGAGTATCAAAAACAAAGAGGATTAATGGAGCTCATGTATCAGTCAGGGGATAGTGGCCAGCACTAGGATTTTACACATTTTGTTTTCCTATAGAGACACTTCTGAGGGTAAGAGAAGTTTCATGTTTCCCATGGGGAAAAGTTTCGGTCAGTGTTTATTGTATCTGGGTCTTCAATTACTAAGGACAATATACAGTGTCTATACTATGTCCTGAAGGGGCTTGAGAGGGAAGGCGTCTCAGAGTGTAAAGACAGCAGGCTCGGCCATCAGGCACCCAGAGATCTGCCCTGCAGGAGTCCTCAGTCTAACCTGCACTTTGAACCCAAACATAAATCTAGAACAGGCTCTAAATTTGTTAGTTTGTGCTAACAATAATGTTACTGCTGAGATGGATGTCCATAGGACATCTTGGTTCTTGCTGGCAGCTTTGTCAAGAGTGCTGTGTGTGTTTAGTCATAGGAAACCAAGATTAGATGCACTAGATGAGGGCTCCTTTTTGTTGATGATAGAGCAAGTATACAACTTTTCATTTCCCCTCATCTTTACTCCTAGCCATTTTCTTTGAGCTGAGCCTCTCTGGTGAGAAGTGAATGGACAGTGTGTGCCATAAGAGAATATATATGACATGAGTAATATAGGCTCTAGGAAGGCCACGTGTCTGGACAACCAGTTGCTGGTGGTATTAGCACAGTTGAGCAACCACTTGGTTTCCACAGTCAATCATTCTTGTTCTCGGGCTGCGAAGTGGTTCAGGATAGACTCATGTTACTCTCTAATGGGGGGCTTGTTGCTCTCTGAATGATTAGTAAACCAAGATGGCTTTGGAATAATTCAGAGCAAACCCAAGACAGACCTTGGCAGGCAAAAATCCAGAGATGTAATTATCCAAAGATTCCCCCATCCTCAGGACCCTGCTACTCAATGTAGAGTACAACTGTTTCAAGGGATAGCTCACCACTCCTGTATTTTCTTAGGGTGAGTCCCGAGCTAATGGTTGGTTGGGTTCTTGGTATTTTTCTTGACACTAAGCTTAATCTAAGCTGGCCTCCTCAGCAACAGCATGGAGCTTTTAACAAATATTGTTTTGATATCCGCTTCAAAGGGAAAGCATGTTAAAATGGAAATTGTTCTGGCTGGGTTTGAACAGCTTTTTTGCTGTAAATGTGCACTGGTGACCTTGGGTCTGTGCTTTGGAGAGGTCTCAGGAGGGGGCCTTGTATAATCGGTAATGAAACTGTATTAATGAACTTCATATTGTGTAAGGGAATAAGGAAAAATGCAATATACTTTCATTTCTCCATCTCTAATAAAATACAGAGAATATGGACAAGCATGAGATATTTCCTTTAGTCCTCTTTTACTAAACAGGCTTTGAGGAGCATGTAGGTAATATTCTTCAGGCAACTATCTTAGGTTGAACCTTGCATAGAGATGCAATAATAAGGCACCAACAAATCTTGGCCCTTGCCAGGATTTGTATCAGAAAAGTAACGTTTGACTTTAGTATTTTGCTAAGGATGTGAGTAAAGGAAGTAATCTCATTACAGATAATGGTAAATCTAGACCACCTGGGACCTCTGGAGTGCTATTCACTCCTTATCGCCAATCTATTTCATTCCAGATGATCAGCTGAACTCAGAGGAGAAGAAGAAAAGAAAGCAACGGAGAAACAGAACAACCTTCAACAGCAGCCAGCTGCAGGCCTTGGAGCGTGTCTTTGAGCGGACACATTACCCGGATGCTTTTGTGCGAGAAGATCTTGCACGTCGGGTGAACCTCACTGAGGCTAGAGTGCAGGTAACTCATGCTTTGGATGGCAGGCACCAAGTGTTCCCTCCACTGCAAACCATCTCTGAAGACTGTTGATGCATATAAGTTGTAGGTTCAGGCCTAGAGCTGATACTGATAAGGGTTGTGCATATGAAGTATGACAACAGGTTTCATATCTTTACTGTGTTTCTTTAGGTTGAATGGTATTTTAAAAAACCAAACAGAGTGCCTTTAGGAAGGATGGAATATGCTGTAGGGAGGGCTATCTCCTTCCCATTGTTGTGAACCTTACAATTTGGTCTTCTTTTACACCACGTACTTGAGCACTTGCCTTGGCACCCTCAGCTTTCAATTTGAGCCCTAGAGTGGCCATACCTAAGCAATTAACCCTCCCTCACTTGAGCTTTCCTCTCCAGCTTAGGAGAATAAACAAACCTGCCAGTACCTTGTTCCAAGCACCCATGATTATGAATGGTGATAAAAACTAGAGATGAATATCAGAAATTAAATTAAGAGCACACTCAAAGTAGATAAATTCTTTTGTCTCCAATGTCTCTACAAAATAAAAAAGTCAAGGGAAGGTAGAGTAATAGTGACTCCTTCAGTTGGAAGAGTAGTGTGAGATTTTCCACATGGGGAGACAGACTGCCCACTTCAAAGTTCTCCCCATGAGATAAGAAAGAATTACAGTGCCATGATGCAAGGAAAGACATCTAGGCCCTTTCTGTGGCCCTGAGGAAACCGAGACAGGTTGTTGAGGTACACTTTTGTATTGGCCATCACGGCTCCATAGTAACAACACAGTCTTGTTTTCTCCATCCTATCACACTTGCACAGAAGTGATGTTAACCCCATTGCACACCTCCCTAGGCTGCTTTCCACACAGTCCCATGAATTCTCCCTGCTTTCCTAACCATCTATATCTCTCATTTCCCCAACCTCAGCCTGTGGTGAAATGAACAACTTTAAATTAGTAAGACACACACACACACACACACACACACACACACACACACACACACGCAAAATGTTTTGGCATTTTATTTTCCTATTTGTGTGTGTGTGTGTGTTGTTTTGTTTATTTATTGTTTTGAGAGAAGGAAAGAGACAAAAAGAGAATGTGAGGTTGGGTAGGTAAGAAAGTTGGGAGGATCTCGGAGAAGTTGGGGGAGGGGAAAGAATATGCTCAAAATACATTGTATGTAAAAAAAATCAAATTAAATACACTAGTAGCCCCTAGTATCTTGGAGCACCATTTTTGCGATAGTGCTCAGAATTTGAAAACAGAAACATAGATGGAACAATGATGATTGTTTTTAGAATTCAGAAGGGTGAATTTTGAGCTGGGAGATTATCTTGTCCAATTATAATTGTTTAATGCTCTGCATACACACACACACACACACGCACACACACACACACACACACACACGCACACACGCATGCACAGTAGGAGAGACAGGAAAATTCTATCTATTTACCACCTGTATGTCTATCATCTATCTCTTTTTTTCCTTCCTTTTCTACCACACTACAAAACAATTCCTTCCAGTGCTGTGAACATTTCCTAGGTGAGTGGCACAGAATTGTTCTTCTGTCACTTTATTATTCCTCTGTAAAGTCCTAGACTTTCCCAGATCAAACAAATCCCTACCGACTCCATATTCAGGACATTCATCCTAACATGACAGGTACTGTGTGGAGTAATCTGTGGGTCAACTCCCTTTCCTGGGTGGTGGAGTCCTCTTGTGTGGGATAAGTTTTATTCAGTTGTTCAAAATTCATTTCTCCCCTTTTCCTTAAATGCTTATTGAGCAACTATGGACTCTTTGACCCGATTTGATTTGTTGGAAATGAGTAAGACACTGGCCCTCTTCTTAAGGATGCCACAGTCTGGAACACAGAGAAAAGATGATCAAACCATCAAATGATGTCATTATGAGATGATCCCCACAGTAAAGAAATATGCAAAAATTATTGATAGAGTAGAAGAAGGAATGATCCATTCTGCCCAAGGGAAAGGAAGGAACTATGCCCTTATTAACTGTATGCTGTGAACCAACTCATAACCTTTTGTAAGCATGTTAGTCATTTCTAATCAACTACAGAACAAAGTAACAGACAAATTAAATAACAGTTCAATGATAATCCATAGTGTAGTGTAGCTGGCATTTTTATGCAATTCTCTTAGACCTTGAAGTCTATGCCTTTCACTATAACACTTCATGGAGGAAGTGATGTTACAATACAATCTTGGATTTGATACCTGGCCAGAGAGAAAGAATACTACCAGTAGAGGAAATGTCTGGTGTAACTGTGTATAGATGGATAGTGACCTGCTTTGTTTGGAAGTCATCTGGTAGCCCTGAGCCTAAGACACACTAAACAGTAGTGTGGATTCATGATAAACAAAGAGCTAATTCTTGAATAGTGTTTTCTCTGTGTTAAGAAATTTTCATTCTATTCTTCAGTAGGAAAGCAGTAGATGGTATCAAGCAAGGCACAGATTATGTTTACATTTAAAGTGTTAACTCTAACAGTGATGTGCTGATCCCATTACAAATGAAAGATCAGAGGACTGGGAAGATAGAGAGGAGATATTTAATGTTACCTTTGCTGATTTCCATTCAGGTCCAGCATGTTACACAATTCTGTGGGGCAGGGGCAATGGTCATATGGTATTTTAGGTAAATGCCATCTCCTAGCACAATTTGTTCCCACACACTGTCATATTTTTCATAATTTGACTAAAATATTTGCTTTGCATTATTTCAGGTGTACTTACACACCTACCTTTAATAAATTTTAGCTGCTTGAAAAAACAGTCTTCTTCACCTTTTTCTTCCCATCATTTAGCATGAGGCCTGTACTCTAGTGAGCACTCCATAAAGAGTCCTTGAATGAATATCAGTGAATGGATAAAATTCCATTGAAGTATAGATCTATATGGTCATGTGTTAGACATCCCAAAGTAAAAACTCAGCCAGTTATTATTTGCATAATCTTCAGTATTGTAATCTCACTGGGCATGTTTCTCCACTTCAAAGTATAAGTGATAAAACCCAATATGCAGAAGTGTCATGCCAAGTTGAAACAGTGTGTGTAAGTTCCAATGTAGGTCCTGGGTGCAGTTTAATAAATGATGACTTTATCATTAGCGATTGCAGATGTTGTCAGGCCACCCACATCCCTTGACATATACAAATAAATGTCCTTCAGTTGAATTCTCAGGCTAGTGCCTATTTTTTTCTGCTGAGAGTTTCTTTACAGAATATAGATAGGTTCCCATGTCTGGTTCAATATATTAGAACTGATAGACTTATAGCCAGGAGTCAGTGTATGGCTACACCCTTGTGGGGAGAGGGTCACCCTGGAACATCTGTCTTCCATTGGTCTTGGTCTCAGGAGTCACCATTTTATTGAGCTCTCGTAGGGGTTGCCAATTAATTGGGTGCTTTTAGTAGTTATTCTTCTATCGTAGCCTCCTTTTATGATGTTTTTCCTGTACCTCTTATATGATCATTTTCTTCTTCATATTTGTAGAAGCTGTGGGGTGATAAAGGGCTTTCTTTAAATAATAAACATCATGAAAGCAGACAAAATTTTCACACTTTGAAGAATTTTTAAATGCCCTTTGAAACCATTGTATCCATTGCCAACATCAAATGAAACCCTTGTTGTATTGATTATAACTACAGCAGGGTGTATAACCTACATTTTGTTGTCTCATTTATTATTCATAGATCCCATCTCTGGATTCTTAATACTAGAAGTGTTTTCTGGTCCTTTATCGAGGGGGGTTAAGATGGGGCTTTATCCATGCTAAGATCTACCCTTGAATCATTCCAGAGACATAGATGTTTAACTCTGAGTCTTATAGCCCACAGAGGATGAATTACACCTCAGTATTTCTGTTGTTTTAGGAAGGGTTCTAGATCCATTCTGTAGCTTTCTTGGGATGGCATCATGTAGTAAAATCAACCAAGATTTCATTCATATAACCTATTTTTCTTTGTTCTCCCTCTCCTTCTTTATATCTTTCTCCTCTTCCAACAATATTCCAGGTGTGGTTTCAGAACCGAAGAGCCAAGTTCCGTCGGAATGAGAGAGCCATGCTGGCCAATAAAAACGCTTCCCTCCTCAAGTCCTACTCAGGAGACGTGACCGCTGTGGAGCAGCCCATCGTACCTCGTCCTGCTCCTAGACCCACCGATTATCTCTCCTGGGGGACAGCCTCTCCATACAGGTGAATGACTGGCCCACTCTCCCTTGCTCCGCTACCACACCCTTCTCAGCCATCCACCACTCTCGAGGCTGCATTTGCAGCTGGCTGACATTCCCTACTGGGTTAACCTCTTCAGAGACATTCAACTTGCTGGCATCCCCACATTTTTCAGGAGATTGCTGGTTGCCCCAGGAGCAGGGTTTGGGGCTGAAGAGAGAGGGGCGGCCATCAGCAATCTCCTCTTGGACTCAGGAATTCTTGCCAAGTTTGCAAAACCAGGAAAGAATATAAAAGAACATATTCTTTGTAAACCGTGTCCAGTGCCCCTCTTGGAAACATTCTGGAACAAAACTATCCCATTTAAGACACCTTTGCTGTGTAATGGTCAAGTAGGGGATCAATGTCTAATGCTCCAAGTATAGGACTAAAAGCACTCTTCACAATAAAACGGATTTTGCATTAAAAGGACAGGAAGGAGGGAGGGAGGGAGAAGGGAGACATGGAGGGAGGAGAAGAAAACTCAGTAACAGAGAAGTTCAGTCACTTTTATGACCATAGTTCCTTGTTAGTGGGCAAGGCTTTCTTAAGATCCCAAAATGCCTTCCTATTCTATTTGTAATTCTTATATATTCCTATGTTTATCCCTCTTCCTGTCTCTCCCCCTCCTCTCTCTATGATGTGTTTCTTTCTCTCTCACTCTGTGTGGTATGCTTTAAATAAGAAAAAAAATACACTAAACTTTTATATTGAAAAAGAATTGTTTGAAGCAGAAAAATCACAGAAGACCCTTTCAGTCTCTGTTTGGAGACTTTTACCCTCCATCCAGGATGCTGTTTAGAAATCGCAGGTGGATGCAGTCACATCTAGGATCCCTGTACTTAATATATGATCAGGCCCTTCTTTAAACCTAGGAAGACACCAGGTCAAGACTTTATATTCTGTCTGGATGATTTCTATGGAAGAACTATGAACACGTTTGCTTTTCTATTAAAAACATCTATTTATATTTTTATTACTAAAGCTAATTCTTGACCTTAGGAGGGGTTTTAAACTGTTTACAGGAGATTGGGCTGAGCTATAGATGTGAAAATCACATTTGGGAAACACTAGTACTTTCCCACAGTTGGTAGGTGTCATTAAATCCCAAAGCCTCACCTAAATGGTCTTTCTGGTCCAAATAATTTCTCCAGAGAAATGCCATGAATGCATTTGGAAGTTTGAGGACATTCTTTGTGAAATTATCCTGAAGTAACTCTGATCGCAATGGTAGATATTCCATGTCTAAGAGAATGAGAAGGACTTATTCCTGTTCTGGATCTTCATCACCCCACCCTGGCTGACTTTGAAAGATCAGTCATATCTATGTTTCCTACTTAAAATTTAGATGTTGTCCCATGGAACTTACTAAAAACACATTTTGGAGACTGTTGTGGAATAGCATATTCTTTAATATTTTAAGTAAGTGGAAGACAACTGTCGATCTGATAGCCTACAGCTTCAGCAAGCAGCTTGGGATATGGGTGGAGCTCAGGGCCTGCTGCATTAAGATCTCTGGTTTGAATTTGGTTGCAACCAAGAAGTATTGCTCCTTTTCTGACTGTCTTCCTTGGGATTATTTTTTTACCCCAGCCATCAACAATCTACATGGCTGCCATGTGAGCTCTACCCATGCAGCCAAACACAACATATTACACAAATGGAGATAAGATCTGTCCTGAACTAGCATCAAGTTAGGTCAACTGAACCAAAGATAGACAAGTTTCTGCATCCAACAGAAGCTAATAACATGACAATTTGTGTGTGCCTTTTGGGAAATATTCTATTTTACCTGAAAAAAATAGAAAAATTCTAAATATATTTTCAAAATCCACTCATAATTTCAACATCTCGACCTAACTAGTTAGTTCATTTCATGACTAGAGTTCAATATTTTATATAGAGAAAATCTTAGAGTACATATTTTTCTGTATTGTACTTTTCCACTTAAGATTGTATAACTTAGTTTCTTTTACTCACTTCATGGTATGCATTTATTTCTTTTACATACAGTATTTGTAAAAAAAAAAAAAAACTAAAGGAAGTGACATAGAAACTGATTGTTTATATTTTGTATGAAGAATAAGTTAATATCCAATATAAGTAGAAAAGCAAAAATTTAAGGCAACAGTCTAATGAATGATATGTTCCTTTGACTTAATGTTGACTCAAGTGTTTATAATTTGGTTAATTTCTGAAAGTGGCAAAAGCAATTCTGTTACTTGGGGATTTTTTGGGGGCTATGTTTAGAATCAAATATATTATGATTTTACATTTTGAACCTTGCTAGAAAACCATGATTGTTGTTAAGGAAATATAAAAGAAAAACAAATGATGGAAAGCAAAGGAAATGATAGTTGTTGCTGTTCGTGCCATTATGTCAAGCTAGTTGCCTCATGTGTGACATTCATTAAAAGGCATTTCTCTTGGTTAATCTTTAGAACACTCCTGTGTGATAGCTCTGTCCTTCCCCTGTCTCAAAACAAGAGAAAAACTGAATACTTCCCCAGGTTTAAGTCTTCACCAAGCAGAATTAGGACAGTACTTCTAGGCTCTGTCCAACACATAGGGATGCATGACCAATGTATTCTTTTCAAATTTTACATTGCATTGTATTGGAAGTACTGAAAAGTATAAAGTTGTGAAACTATCTAAATGTTCCTTCTTGGTTCAAGCACTCTTTCTTGATTAGCAAAGCATGTCTGTACCTGGGGTCTTTATCCTGTGGTGTGGGCACCCCAGTGGGATGCTCTGTGTGGTTAGATCATGAAACCCAGGGACAGTGAGTAGACACTTTTGTCAGGGAGAACGGTTTTCCCATTTCAATAGCTCATCTCTGGAAAAAGAATAGGAAACCAAGTCATAAGAGCAGCTATTTATTTATGGTCAGAACTATAGGCTGGGAAGTAAACCCCCCCTCCTCCTGTTTTTTGCTGGATGTCTTTATTATTGTGTGTAAAGATCATATAATACATCATTTACACTTGGAAGGTTTTAGAATGATATTAATAATTAAATTAGGACAAAGGGTAAAAACCAGGATTGTCTCTGGCAAACAAAGACATTTGGTTTACTCTGATTATGGCTCACTCATTCTCCTGAGTATACTAGATGGACATGTCGAACAGGCAAAGGAGCAAAGGATTTCCTAACATGGACACTACTTTCCTGGTAGAGATTGTTATTTACTTTACCTGTAGCTAATTGAAGCAAGCTTGTCTTTGGGACATAATAAACCCACTTCTTAGTAGAGAATTATTTTCTTTAAGCAAATTATGAAAATGAAAATGCACACAAACACTAAAATTATCAAAACTCCCTGGCTTTACAGTGTTATCCCATACTACTGTTGGAGATGAAGTAGTCAAAAAATACTTCCTTAGACACTTCTGTTCTTCTGAGAGGTAGCTCGTGAATGGCTTGGCTCTGTAGTACTGGTCCAGAGTGTCATTTATAGAGGGAGGGCTGGACTGGAAACTAGTGGCAAGGGAAAGAAAGGCTGATTACTCTTGTACCGTGTCCCTCCCCTCATTTGGTCTTGGTCGTGGTGCTGCTGACATCTGCTCAACGCATTTGGCTCATTTCTCCCTTTCACACTTTCAAAAATAGATCTTCGTCCCTCCCAAGATGTTGTTTACACGAGGGGCTTCATAACGGATTCTAACGGAAGACACTGAAAAGGTAACTTGTCAGATGGGGTTGAGGGTGGCTTCTTGGGGTAGGGCTTAAGGGGAAATTAGTTTTGTTTCTAAGAAACTGGGGGTGGATGTCTTAGAAGTATAAGTAGTGGAGTTTCCCCAAGTGGGAAATTAGAAGTCAGAACTATAAGAAAGCATGCCCTGAAAGGGAGTATGAAAGTCTAGAACAGCTTACCTCAAACACAGTTATGTTCCAGGATCACTGGGCTGTGCCTACTAAGACTCTGATCCATTAATTCTAGAGTGGAGCTGGGATTCTTCATCTCTCTGTTGTTTTACTCTGAAGTAATTCCCATGATGGTCATATCTGACTGACTTTGACTAGAGAGGCTTTAGATACCCAGAGTATGAGCAGGAATCAGACTACATCATTGTCCTGCTTCTGTTGCTTCTTAGGCCAATACCATAGTTGATCTATTATGTAACTTTATATTGAAAATTGAGCTAGATATAATTTCCCTATTGCACGTCTCACAGGGGAGTTGAGAATCTAAGGATAAACAATATGGCATACTCAATATTGAAAAGGGGAAAGACAAAAGACTTGGTGTCAGTGGGAAAATGTTTCAGCAGTGTAGAGGGATCACAGAACATACAGTGGAAACTAAGGCCTTACCAATGAAATGTGGTCCCACGTGTCCACTTAGAAAAACCAAGCATATATTTTAAAACTCAACTTCCAAACTTTAAGCAGAAGTAAGAAATGATGGTTTAAGTTACATAGGTGCACCTCCAAAGGATTTACAAAATCTCACTTTAGAAGTTAATTTCCCCAGGAAAACTGAAATTAACTTTTCTTAGGGGACATACTCATTCCTCCTTGTACTTTCCTTGGCAAAAGAACAAGCAAAAGAGATGGCCTCCAACCCCTGTATTTCAGGGTTCAGAAAACTACAAACTAGAGCCTGTGAAAAACGATCTAGAGTAGGTGGAAACTTGGATGCTAAGGACCATTCACATGCATCTTAGGCTGTCATAATCAACTTTAGGGTGATGTTTTGTGCAGCTTGAAAATATTCAAAAAAGGCTGACCAGAAAATAGCAGTAAAGATCGAGTCAAGCATTAACGTTTCTCCTCAATTGTTTTGTGATTTACACTATGTTTTCTCCTCAATTGTTTTGTGACTGACACTATGGGTGATTAGAAGTCAAACCTTCAAGAGTATTTGCTATACTTCCTTTGTATTGGCAATTGTTTTCACTCCATTTTCCTTAAAAACCACCTTTCAGAGCAAGTAGGATTGGTCATAAGTTACTTGTCTCCAGAGGAAACAAGTATCTAACCCCTGCTGGTGGGGTGAGCTTACTGCTGGGTTGCATCTGCTTGGAATCTCCAAATAAGGAAGGGGAAAACCTCATGCTTCCCAAAATGTGTCAGCTCTGTGATGTTCCACTGCAGACTTGATGAGTCAGCAGATGAAAAACACAAGCCTTTCTTTCTCATCCCTAATGTCTCCATGTGCTTTATTTGGAAATGCAGTTTCTTGGTTACAGATACAAAGAGTTTTGTTGAAAATTCAGCAGAAATGGTACATTAGCCAACCTTTTTAAGACTCGCTCCCAGGACTCATATGTGCTCCCTGCTTACAGGAATGAGAAATTCTTGCCAAATGGGAGACTAAGCACTTGAATGTCTGTCAGTTGACAGGGATCTCTGTGGTTGTCCTGTGTTTAACTCATACACATCACTGAGTTTCTGTCTTTTTTTTTTTTTTTTTTTTTTTTTTTTGGAATTCCAAGAAGTTTCATTCAGTATAGGAACAAGTGGTACTTTGGTAATTTTACGTGGGCTGGATGACCCATCCATTGGTTGAAATCAATAACTTATGCTGGTCTCTCTGGTGGGAAGATAATTAATCTCTCTCTTCTTCTTCTTCTCTCTCTCTCTCTCTCTCTCTCTCTCTCTCTCTCTCTCTCTCTCTCTCTGTCTGTCTCCTCTTAAAGCAAAGTTTTAGATGTCTCCATGACATAGAAAACAGGTGGTCATGAATAGTCTCTTAGATTGGCAGCCACTCAAGGCTCTCCTGCATCTGTTGTCACTTAAGCAAGCAAGTCTTCTACCTCCCAATGCTATGTTTAAGGCATGACTAAGCAACTGTTGGGACACCAGTAGTAAATTCTCTCTTTTCTGACTGATAGCAAATCTTCTTTGTAGTGGGTATGTAAAAAAGCTGCCCATTGCTTACCTATATTGCACATTTAGCTTGAGCTGTAAAAACAGACCCATGTCAAAGACCCAGAAGAAAATACATAAACTATGACTGGAACTCATACTTGTGGAGTATGGTGTCTGTTCTTAATACTCTATAATATACAGCTAACAAAGACTAGGTTTGTTCAATCTTGAGAATGAATGACTTTCCAAAGCATTTATCAGGTGGTACTGGTATCACTTACCAAACTTCCCTAAGGGGTGCAAATATCATTTGTTAATATCAATCACTTTCTTAACTTCTGGCCCTGTAACTTGGGGGACTTAATGTAATATTGCCACAGAATCACTGCTAGGATGGCACTGTCATTACAGTCCCACAAAATGCAAAGAGACACTGTTCTCTGCTGTGCTTGCCCAGGCTGCCACTTGAATGCCTTGGTGAATACTCACTCTCTTGTGCAAGATACTATCCTAATTCTTATCCATTTGGTTTTGAGTGAGAAAGTGGATTGATTCATATTACTTAATGTCAACCTACCCTAGAAAGAACCTCAATATGTATGTGTTACCATACAAAGTATTCAGGCTAGAACATCAGATGAGATATAGATAAGACTATGAGATAACTATAGTCAAAATGTGTACTATAGCAGAAGTGATACCAACACCATAGTAGACAATTCAGAAAAATAGTAATAACAGCATCAGATAATTAACGCATGATCCCCAAGTTTCCAATCCCTTCAGTGAGGTTCAGTTATCTAAGAAAGGGGGAATTTCTATCAAGTAGGACCTTGCTGCTCAGAATCTCAAAGGATGGGGAATAGCTCTCTTAGATACTTGGGCCAAGTATCTAAAAGCAAAATCATTCCATAACAATCTGTAATTTACAATGGTAATTTTTTCTTAAAGTTCTCTAAGTTTTAGTCTTGTATATTCAGAAGTCACTCAATTTTCTTCCCAGAATTTAACAAATAACACAGATGCCCTGTGATGCCAGCTTCTGCTCCATGTGTTTAAAACACTCATAACACTCTAGGACTTGATATTCTCACAGAAACCAGATTGAGAAAGGCTAATTTTATTTTATAATAATCCATAATTTAGGTACATTCCCCAAATCTGGGAATCTCTTTTCTTAGGTACTATTTTGTTTGTTGCCTCTCCCCCACCCCTTTTTGAGACAGGGTTTCTCTGTGTAGCCCTGGCTGTCTTGAAACTTACTTTGTAGACCAGGCTGGCCTCAAACTCAGAGATCTACCTGCCTCTGACTCCTGAGTGCTGGGATTAAAGGTGTGTGCCATCACACCTAGCAGCTACTAAACTTTTGAGTGTTTGGCATATTCTGGAAATTTTTGAATCATAAATTTTGGGTATGCATTGATTTATAGCAGGATGTTAGCTAGAAGCATATAATTTGTCTAGAAAGTAAATGATACCTATTTGACTTTTTTTCCTGTGTTAGAAAACTGTTATTGTCATTTGCTCATTCATAATTTAAACCTGCTTTAATTGAGGACTCTTCTGCCTCTTGGGTGGACAGTGATAGAAACAGTTTGTTTTATTAAGCTTTCATGTATTAGTGTACTTTTTACTATAAAAAGATATCTTAATGTATCTAGGAATATGCAATGGTTATGTCCTCTTATGCCACATCCTTCTGACTCCTTCCATTGAGATAACAAATTTTACAGAAATAACTAGTCCTCAAGAATAAACAAATTATTTTCAGAGAGCACTATAGCAGGATAGTAGATGTTGAGGACACCAAGCACAGATCAATTTAATCATTCTGTATCTAGCTATGGCTGTTTGTTCAGTAGGATTATTGAACACCAAATATGTGCTGGATGTGTTATCAGCTCTACCTGAAGATACAGTGATGAAGAAAGCGGTGATCTATGCAGCTTATAGAAAATGATAGACTCTGAACAAGTTATCAATTAAACATGAAGTAAATGAGTAAAGCAAAAATACAGGGTGCTACAGGACAACCTAACCTTGTCTAAGGACAGAAGCCTAGGATCCAGAAATTGACCAGGAAGAGGGAAAACTAGAAAAATTAAATGTAACAATGTAGAATTCTCTTGTAATCTGAGTTTTCCCTTTTGTTGCAATGTAGACTTTATCCTTACAATGATTTATACCTATGTAATAAAGCTTTTAAAAGATTTATTTTATAGCATGAGTAATTGATCTGAAACTCAGTATATTTCTTTAACTCATTTTTTTTTCTTGATAAATGCTAGAATCTGAAATAGACTACTGCGTCTTAACTCTAAGCTTGACTCTGTGCTGCCCCATATTGCCAATGGGCTATTCCCTCTAGCTTTAGTTTTCCTTCTTTCTGATCTTGTCATTTGATCACAAAACCACAAACTCCTGTGTGGCTCACAAAATTTTACTGGAATGCAGGAGGCAGAAAAACACATGTTATTCCATTTATAAGTCTCAGCTCTCTGTTGAAAGGGATCTTACTCATCATAGAAACAGCTAGAGACATTCTACTTAGTTCAAAAATAATCTCATTTTAACTATTTTACACAGAGAAAGAGATAATTTGCATACACATCTACACACCATTTTCTTTTCCTTTAAAATAGATTTGTAGATAAAATGAAAAAACCCAACAATGATGAGTTCCTACCTAGGTCTTAATTATAATCCATGACAATCAAAACTAGCTTCATGTTTCTCTCAACAACATAGACAGGGAGAAACAGTTATGTCTGAGAACAAGAATGATAAAACTATAACTTGGGAAGTTTATTTTGAAATTTTAAGTATTTCCAAAGTGACTCAACCCAAAGGTGATGGTCACTTTTGAAAAGTTATAAAATCAAGACTCATTGACAGGAAAGTCTTGGTTTGACAGTGTCTGTTACTGTTGTCAAGTGGATCACAATGCCAGGGGATTATGTTGTGTTGTTTAACGGATTCTACAAGCACATAATTTCTTATAGTATTATTGATTATCCACTCCAGTTACTTAGGGTGAAGAAGCAAAATTCTTCTGGTCTAGTGTTACTTGCTTGCTGGTCTCCTTTACTGATTCCACAGGCTGTCTGGTATGGGTAGCAAAGCTTAGACTGTGTTTAAGTAGCTGATGAAGCTCCTGCTTTTTGACTTGAGCAGAATTTCCTCTTCCCTCAGAAACAAATCATTACTCACTGTATCCAACACAGCAAATACTTCTCCCTACCCTATCTCATTTCCTCTGCTTCCCCAATGCCCTATAAAAGATGGCCACCCTTTTCCAAGGACCTTAGACTAATTGAAAGCTGGGGCTATAAGAGACCCCAGAGGTCCTCTATCCACCCTACTGCCCTGCCTGCCCCTGTCCTGAGAGTATATCCACCCAGGGCATGGACTTGCAGCTTTATGACACTAACGCCTGTTGTTCTCCCTGCTCTCTCCTTTGTCCCTACAGCGCCATGGCTACTTATTCTGCCACATGTGCCAACAATAACCCTGCACAGGGTATCAACATGGCCAACAGCATTGCCAACCTGAGACTGAAGGCCAAGGAATATAGTTTACAGAGGAACCAAGTGCCAACAGTCAACTGAGGAAAAAAAAATTAAACAGGCCTAAGAAGAAATCAAAAACCATAAGAAACCTATCCTGTTCTGTCATTTCTTCATCTGCTGGAAAAAATAAAAGCAAACAAACAAACAAAGCCAGAACTAAAATATTGGGACCATGGCGGATAAAAGCAGGAGAGGAACAAAATGAAAATTAGTTAACAGTGGTTCCTTCTTCCTCTCGGATACCATCACCATTTGTTTCTGTGTGTGTTTATTTTGTTTTCCTTCTATCCATGCTTTGCTCATTATACTCCAGGATTCTTCAGTTAGGTTCAACCTGCCCATTCCTATAATTGTATGAGAATTAAAAAAAAATCTTCAGCAGCCAAAGAAACACACACACACACACACATTATACACACACACCTGTTTGACCTCAGTGCCTTATTCTGTCTCCTTCTAAGTGCCTCTAGGAGAATTTGAAAATCCAAAGTATTTCTGAGGAATCTGTATTGTTTCCATGTCTGTTGGTCATGGTAAGGTTTTCTATCAGCTTCAGGAAATATAAATGCACACACGCTCTGGTATTTGACCTGTCTGATTGATGTTGTTGGCCATGTCTAGTGAACTCTGAGCTCTAAGGTCTAGAGTGAATCTGTGGATTTAAGCTCTAAGTGCTAGGTTATAATGTCACCATCAATACCATCCCTCATCCAACCCAAACAATAAACCATCCTAAGTTAAAGATATTTGTTGTTTTTGAACATTTTGAAAAATTGCTGTCATTTGCTCTTTGGTAGAAAAAATACTTTTGGCTTTCGAGATGGAGAGAAATTTTTGTAGGAAATTTTGTGGAAATTTTTTTTAGAAAAACAAATATTAAATTGTGAAAGGCATAGCCTTTATCTCTTTGGTGCCTTAGGGGTGGTCAGATGCACACTGTGTATATTTATATATATTATATATAAAATATTGAAAGCTTGAGTTTTCAGTTTCTCAAACACTATAAAAGCAAACTTTAACACCATCATCACTGTCCTTATTAACACAGTAATGATATATTAATGTGGCACCTTGTTGTTTTCCATTCTCTAAACAAAATTCTCATTAAGGTTAGAGAGCAATTTCCTAGGGAACCGTTTGAGAACATCTTTCATTTTCACTTTAGGGCTTTAATGGGATTAGGAATTATTTGACAATATAAGAATGATCTTGAGCTTGGAGCCTGAGCTCAAGTGGGAAGTCTATATCATCTGACATATCACAGGAAATACACACAGGGTGGGTAGTTAGCCATCGGCTCTTTCTCCACTCCACAGAAATATGAAAACCTACTAACACGTTTAACTGAAATGCTTAAACCTTTCTCTAAATTCCAAAAAAATAATTTAAGGACAATTATACCTTTATATTTTAGTAATTTTGAAGTGAGGTTTAGTATGTAGGGTGGGAGGCAGGGCAGGTATTTTTGTTTGTTTGTTTGGTTGTTTCTCTTTGTTCTCAGCTGTGCTTTGTCAGCTTTCTTGGTGGACTTGAACAACCATGCTACCATGCTGTGTCTAGTTTACCTATTTATAAAATGGGTTTAACAATTCTTATATACCTCACAGGGATGCTGTGAGGCTGTGTTAGTTTGCTTCCTTCCATCCTTCCTTCCTGTTCTTTGTTTGTCCAGCACCCTGTAGCCATGGGAGGAAAGGGACTTTAAGAGCATCCAGTGTTCATGGCCTAACAGTATTTGCAAGCTTTGTTTTCAAGCAGGAAGTGGTATCTGGCTGTACATACATATAATCTTGTATTTGGAAATGATAAATAGGTTTATATTTTCAGATAGATATCTCAATGATCACATCATTTGACCAAAGAATAATTTAAGGCACAAAGTATAGAGATATTTTTAACTTATATTCTCATCAACAGCTTGGCAACCATAGCTCTCAGTGAATAAAATGCTTCAGATTGATTTTGGCCAAATATGTCAACTTTAATATGAGTGAAAGGCAAAATATGTGGGGTATTAGATGCACTTTCAACATACATTTGTATTTTCCTTGGCATATCTAATCGAGTTAATGGTGATTTTTTTTCAGCCTAACAGCCACCAATCTGAAAATATATTTCAAGTGATTTTGTACTTTGTTTAATAATAAGAAGGAAAACCATCTTGTGTACTTTAAGCTCATGAAGTGAATCTTTCTCAATAGCACCTATTAAAACATTTCTTTCAAAATAGTTCATGTGGTCTGGCTGAACACACATTATTTGTTTTTAAGGAGTCTTTCCACTCATGTATTCATCCCATTGATTGCTGTGTATTATCAAGTTTCAAAGGAACAGTACATCCTTATTGTAAAAAATTCTTTTGATTTGTAAAGTGAATACAAGTCCAATAGTCTGGTAAACTTTGGGGATTTCAAGTTTGCAGGGAATACCTAAAAGATTTGGATTATAGGCAAGGAACAAAATTTAGAAATGAGAAGGTTTTGCTAAGGAGGGTGGAATCGTGGAAGAGAGTCATAAAAGAAAGTTGTTTGAATCCTTAATCCTGACTATATTTCTAGTGTCCACCAAAGAGCCTGATCCCATAAACTCAAAGGAGAAAGTGGGAGGCTTTACCTGATGCTTCAAATCAGTAGTTTCTAGGAATTCATAGAATAACCTATTCTAGTTAGTCACAGGAATGCCTGTTCCTGGTGGACCCACACCACACCATCTTTATCTGAGCACTTATCTGGATATTATCTGAAACACTAGCACTCAGTTTTGTTCATTTATGATCCACTTTTTAGATGAATATAAGTTTAACAAGTGATTTGGAGGATTAGATTTCTAGCTTATAAGTGAATTGCCAGAAGAGTGTCTCAGTGTCACAGATTCAAGACCTGTTGCTCTCCACCAACATACCCAGATGAAGACATGGAACTATTATTGTCTCCAATCCCTTCCCAAACAAGAGGTTAATTAGTAAAGTACTTGGCAGGTTAAATTAAACCAGAAGTAATGACCTACATAAATGACATATGGTAATAAAGTTCTCGTAAGAAATGTAATATGTAAATTATATCTTGCTTTATGATGTAAAATATACATTGTTTGTGATAGAATAGAAATGATTTCTTTTCAATAAAATGAAAGACAGACACTACAATGTCTTTTGTTATAATACACTGGACTCGGATGATTATTTTTATTGTGAACTTCTAAAATGTAGAACTGCTTAGATTCAAGATGGCCCTGAGAAAAGTGAAGGTAAGAATGGCTAATAAGCAAGAGAAATTTTTATCAAAGTATGATATTGTATCATGTAAATGGAAAATAATATATTTATTATTCTTCAAAAGCAAAAGTAGTAGGGGGAGGAAGAAGGAATATCTGTATGTTCAGTGGGAAGATGAGGGCAGAACTTCCAATGGAAACAGCAATTTTACCAATGCTTCTAGCATCCACAATATGACATACAATAAGACAAATAGTATTCATATGAGGCCAAGCTTTTGCTTTAATATTAATGAAGCATTTTAAAGCAACCATTGTGTACAGTGTGGGTGTGTGACAATAAAGAAAACAGAAAAACCACATCATGAGGAATAAGTTGTTTTCATACCAATTAAAATCTAGTCAAAAAGGCAACTTGAGAATAAACAAGTTTATGCAACAATTCAAGATAATCAGTTAATAGCTGTCAAACAAATAGAGTGCATAGAATAATTCTGGAGGAAGAGGGGGAGGAGGAAGAAGAGGAGGAAAAAGAAGGAGGAGGAGAAGGAGAAGGAGAAGGAGAAGAAGATAAAAGACATGAACTTTTCTCCAGGCCATAGAGACCCATAAAAGGGTTTTAAGCAAGAATGGCTTCTAAGCAAGAAAAAAATAAAATGAAATCCCAAAACTTGCATTTTGGCAGAACACTTCTTACAAACAGGCAAAGATAAACTAGAGTAGAGTAGACACTGGAAAATAGATGTGACAGATGGGGACCAGGGAATAGAGTTTTCCAAGAAAAGAGTCAGTAGGACTGTCTAGCAAAGAGAAAAGGGAGTCCAAGATATCACTGACCAAACCCTGGTGACCCAGTAAGTCATCAATAAAATTCATCAAAATCAACCAAAGAGGAGAGGTCCAGTCACTCACTGGGAAGGGTGATGCAGTCCTTAGATTGTTGAAGCTGCCAACACCAAGTGGGAGCTCCTGGTAAGCAAGGACATGAAAAGTAGGACTGGCCAGGCACATAGTCAGAAGTTTAAAAACCACAATGTGTCATACAAGTATGAATGTGTTTTTGAAGATGAGAAACTGCCCTGTAACACAGAAATAATTTTAATAACTGGTTTTTGGAAGTAGTTTCAACACAGGAATAAATACTGAGCTTTGAAGAGCAGCTACAGCCAGGAAGAGGGCTATGGAGGGCTGCTTCTAAGAATCTGAAGAGGCAAATCAAGCCTGTTTAGCATCTCAGAGTCAAGGTGTGTTTTAACCTTTGACCATCAGTAAAGCACATGGAAACTATGTGGAGGCACCATATCCTCTCAGTGACAAGAAAATAAGCAACTGTTGCTGATGAGAATCCTTGGTGGGGAGGGTAGAAATCAGTATGGAGGCTCCTCAAAAAAATGAAAAGGAGAATTTCTGTATCATCTGCAGTAAACATACAATTTACAGTAACTGAGATGTGGAATCAGCCTGGATGCTCACCAATAGAAGAATGGGTTTTAAAAATATGATATGGACATAGTGGAGTTTTAGTTGTCTATAAGGAAGGATAAAATTTTGTCATTTGCAGGAAATTAGGTGGAACTGATGATCATTTTAAACAAACTAAAATTACATATTTTCTTTTATAATGGTGTCACCATTGTAGACATAGTGGGACCTGGGAGAAAGGAACTGATAAATGAGGTGGACTAAAGTCTCATGCAATAGTCAACTTTATTCAGAGCCCCAGACTATTTATACCCTGAGGGCTAAGAAAGGTCACCTGAGTGATCCTCTCATGAGTTCAAGTTATATGCAGTCACAAGGACAAACCGCAAGTAATAAAATCATGTTTTTCCATAGAGGCATATAAAGGATCGTTTAAACATTTAATCGAATAACAGCAGCAAGCAATAATGAGTAATCTGAAAATAAACTCAGTCCTATCCGAGTCACCTGGGAGGAGCGTGAAAACACACCCAAGAACAGCTCTGTGTCTTGAAGAAACTGAGGTCACAATTCTCTTTTCTTGAGTGCTTTCAAAAGAATCTAGAATTCTCCTCACATGACTTCATTCCATTCCATTCATTCCAGGACCATTCTCTGAAAAATTATTTATATATATATGTGTGTGTGTGTGTGTGTGTGTGTATGTGTGTGTATATATATATATATATATATATATATATATATATTCTCTGACATATATATATATGACATATCATTGACATGTATTTATGTTTATCTTGTGAAATTGTTTGTGTGTTCATTTTGATTTTTTTCCTGAGGGTGAAACGCAGTCTCTTATTGGACGCCAGGACTGCTGGTATAAATTACAAATGGTATGATTTCACAGTGTGATATGATTTGCTTATATTTTATGTCTATGTGAATTATCTTGTCAAATAAGATCTCATATTGCATTCCAAAATGGTGATTATGAGGAAACCTGAAGTCATTCAAAAGATGTAAAAATTAGAAGATAGACCTCGTACTATGAAATATGAAAGCCAGAAGATAAAAACCACACACTAACTTCAAATGATTCCATTAAAATGTACTCTACTAAAGATTCCACGTCTGATTGGTTGGAGATCTAAATAAGAATTAGGCCTTATATTCTCTCCAGGTAAGGTCTCACAAATCTGAGTGAAGAAATAGTCTCCCCTTTCTACCAGTGTTTTATTTTCTCAATGCCAGGGAGACATCAAGGCGGCAGGGACAGATCACCAGCTCTTTGTCACCTTAGTATAGTGGGTACACTGTGGACTTTGCAACCCACAGATTTCTTTAAATTTTTAAATCTTTTCATGGAAAAATCAAACTTGGAAAAGAAAAAGAAAGAGGAAGAAGAGGAAAAGAAAACTCAGCTGTCCCACTTGCTGGGTAATGCTATCACACAGAGCTGAGAAGGAGAATGGTGGTGGATTCCCCTTATTACCCATGAGAGTCTGACCCACTGATCTTAGAGTGGCTTCATGCTGGGCTACCCAGCTGAACTCTTAGAACCTTCAGATTGCTAAACCAAGCATCCCCTGATTTTGCCAAGGAAAATAAATCTATTTTCCTACTTCCTGTGCTCTGTCAGGGTAAAAACCATAAAAAGAAGCCAAAATTCCTCCACAATAAGCTTACAGACCTAAGGAGACCATTATTTCCAATGCAGGAAAGCAAATGTTCTTTATCGAACTGATGTCCTTGTTGACCATGTTGACCACTGAGAAACCAGCAAAAGTTTTCTTGAGGAAATAGAACAGAATTGATTGAGGAACTTGGCCTGAGAAAACAGGAAGTGGCTTTCAATTGCTGCATATAGCCAAGAAAGGATGGTATTTCTAGACCATACTGGTGAAGGTGTGTGGGTGTGTGTGTATTCCCTGGAGACAGTGATGACGTTTATGCTTATCTAAACCAAAGCAAGGCTCCTCACATAAAGACAAAGCTGGCATAACACCAATGGACTCAGAGGCAGAGGAACTCAAGTTGGGAAAGGTTAGTTCAATACTTACAAGGGGTCTTTAGTGCACACACATTCCATCCATCAGGGTAATGTTTTCCTCAGGCTTGTCCAGGAATAACTCCTAACCTTCTGTCCTTAAGATCCCAAGGACACAGCTGATTAGTTTTCAGTTGGGGGTAATGAAATGTTGAAATGGGAAACACATGTCCCTTTGGTCTGGAGGAGACATGTTAGGAAGCCTCTTGTTTTCCAGGCCTCCTCTTAGCAGTGACCTGATAGCCACAGAAAGTCTAAACAAGCAACTTACAATTAACTCCTAGTTATAATTCTTTCTAGGGTCAGGATGGATTTTAATTCTATGTAAAATGCTTATTATCTAGAATAAGCTTCCAAGTGTTCTTTTGTTTGAAAAGAAGGAAGGGCTCTTCAAACCCTTATTTAATTGTTGCTTTTCTCTTTTTTGGACCACAAATAATTTGACCTGTTCCACCCATATGCCCATGAGCCCATAGTGATGTCCATTTTAGGTATTGTTTCCCTGTGGGGTTTTCTTTCAGCATTAAAAAAAAAAAAGGAAGTTATTCTGACTTTTTTCTCCCTAATCTTGATTTCTAAGTAAAAACTTTAGAGAGAACCAAACTTAATAAAGAGAAGTTGCTAAGTTAAAGGACCTCAGGAAGTGATGACATTGAAGAGTTTGAGACTGGCACTTTGGGTATCTGGACTGGAGGATGTGAAGTGAAAAGGGATCATAGTGCCAACTCTGCTTGCAGCTGCTGCTGTGGTTCCAATGTGTGTCCATGGCCCCATGTGAAACTCATAATGACTCATTCTTGTAAATAAAATAAAAACTAGTAAGTTGAATCTCACATCGTGTCATGTTCTCTGAGTAGTGTGTTTCAAGAAGTAATATTCTGAAAGCAACAATGGTCCTTAAATTGTTTACTCCAGCATTTGACTGATTATCTGTACTGTTGCTATTCATGTTAGGTGATATGAACATCAGAGTCCTTTACTATACCAAATACAGCTCCCTGTTGTCTCCAGTGTTTCTACATTAGTTATAGGCTACAGGCTTTTTTTTTTTTTTTAAAAAATGATACCCAAAACATATTCACAGTGTTATTAATGAATATTAATAATAAATACAGTCTATTAATCAAATGTTTTAGACATTTATAATAACAAGCCAAGAGTATAAAGGCGGTCCGAAGTGCATTAAGGAATACTCAAGATGTCAAATTACTGAGAGTTTCCAGTTCTGATGTCATGTTCTCTAAATCCCTAAGATTAACACCTTTTGATTTGAAGCAGCAGTAGTCCTGGGTGAATTTGGAGAGAAACACCCTTCCTGAATGGAACACTAGGACCCAGATGTTCAGTGCACAAGAAGAGTTCAAGAAAATATCTTGAACTTAGAAACTGGGGAGTTAGAGATAGGCCTCCTTGGTGGTCTTGGAGAAGACACTGGGCTCAAGAGACTCTTTTACAAAATGGAAATGCTAACACTAGCTGG